ACATCCGGAATTGCTAAATGCAATGACGTCATTAGCTCCCCCCTTGTTTTTCCCCGCCAATTTGTGCAATCTTCTGTGGTGTTTCTTTTGTGTATTTCCCTTGAAGATAGTTCAGCAATGACAACGGAAAAATATATCGAAAAACAAACCATGAAAAAAAGAAAACAAGAAACCTGTTAATATTAGAAATTAATAAAGGTGAAGGGCTATAACTCGGCAGTTGCCAACTAGGCTTTTCATCGAGACGGGAGTAGCACTATCTGTCTTAAAGAACTGTGGCTAATAGAATGCCGAGAAAAAAACACACAAACATGTAAACAAAAGCGTTGGTAATTAACAGTTTGAATTAAAATGTAAATAATATGCGATAAAATGAAGTCTTGCAAGATCAGAAGCTATGCAGTTGACGGAAAAGAAGCAATATACAAAATAAAATGAATAAAAGCAACAGCGTAAAGTGAATTGAAATAAAACTACATTAATAGTAAATATCTAGAAATGAGGACAGGTAACTAGTGCCAGTATGCTAAGCGCAACAATATGTGTCAATCCTCGAGTATATATGTGTGGGTAAATTGACCGGAAGTATTAGATATGCAGGAAAAGGGCAATGGAGGGGGGGGGAGGGGGAAGGATTTCGGATATTAAGACGAGGAATATAAGGAAGATTCCGGGGATGTGATAATCAGAGGATCCATGAGAGACAGGGAGAGAGGGTGTTAGAAGGTACGTGAGGAGTGTGGGTAAAATGAAGCGAAGGACGAGAGTGTGGGACATAGGATCGGTGTATGGGTTGCAGGAATAGGCTAATGACGGGTGGAAAAAGGTTGCAGGATCGGGCATAGGTTGCAAGAGCAAGATACAAGTTATCGACTGGGGACGGGAGTTGCAGGAATAGGCTGAATGGCGCGGCGAAAAGGTTGCAGGATCGGGCATAGGTTGCAGGAGCAAGATGCAAATTACCAACTGCGGAAAGGAGAGAAGGATCCTAACCTTACAACAAACACACACACACACACACACACACACACACACACACACACACACACACACACACACACACACACACACACACACACACACATGAAAGACGGAATACTGCAATACCGCATTACATTACATATATAACAACCCTCCATTACCGTCCCTCAAAGCTAAGTCACTACGCGTATGAAACCAGAGGGCCAGTCCTAAGCCAAACATACCATACGACCCACTAAAAGGAATGTGCAACTAAGATCCTAATAACAGGAGTGTGCAACTAGGATCTAACTAACTCCATAGACATTTCCTATCTACTCATATGTTAGTAAAGATGACTAGGTTTTACACACACTCCCCGTGGGCATTCGGTGGAAATTGATTTAAAATTCGAAACCGAAGTCAGATATACTAAAGTAAATACCCACGGGGAGTGTGTGTAGAATCTCGCTATCATTACTCATAGTAGATGAGTAATGCAGATAGGTAATGTCTATGGAGCTAGTTAGATCCTAGTTGCAACTCCTTTTAGTGGGATCCTAGTTACACACACCTTTTAGGAGGTCGTGTGGTCTGGTTGACTTAGTACACACCGGTTTCATAGCCGGTGTGTTAGGGAGGGTTATTATATACGCATATATATATATGTGTGTGTATGTATATGTGTATAGATAGATAGATAGGTAGGTTGATAGATAGATAGATAGATAGATAGATAGATAGATAGACAAATAGATAGATAGATAGATAGATAGATAGATAGATAGATAGATAGATAGATAGATAGATAGATAGATAGATAGATATATAGATAGATAGATAGATAGATAGATGGATAGATAGATAGATAGACAGATAGATAGATGGATAGATAGATAGATAGACAGATAGATAGATAAACAGATACACCGATATATATGTTAATTCATACGCGCGCGCAGCCATGTGTATGTGTGTCTACACGCACTCATACACACACATACACACACTGTAAAGGAACCCATCCCTTGTGAATAATTCTACATCGTTTCTTGAAGAGTGGATGAACGTGTCAGTTCTACGAACAAATGGCTTTGTTTTTGGGAATTAAGGATGAATTCACACTTTTTTTTTTTTTTTTACCTTTTTTTTTTGTATATATTACCTCCCTCTCGCTCGAAATTGGATGCTGTGAAGGAGATCAGGTTGAGTTTCGAGAAAGTGAGAGGAAATGACAGTTTCATTATCGTGAAATTACCGTAAGCGTCTTTGGCTCGGCTTAGGGTACGGCCGGTGGTCCCTTGGGGGGGGGGGGCAGGGGCATCTCGGGGTTTGTTTGTTTAGCAATAACAACCCTAACTAGTATAAGCATACGTAGACGAATTTTACGTATTGACAAACACAAACAGACAAACAAATGCATATTCATTAAATATATCTATCTATTTATATATCTATTTATGTACTTATCAATCTGTCAATCTTTATATCTATCTAGACATACACACACACATACGCACACACACACACACACACACAC